CTTTTCTTTATTCTTCTTCTACACTTGTCTTTCAAAAAAACAAAAAAATACAAAACGGTTAAGGATATTGGATATCAATATATATACATATATATGGTAATCTTGCCTGTGAGTTTTCTTCATTATTATTTATCTTTATTACTCGCGAAAGAATCTCGAAAAACATTAAACCATCATATAAATACATACAACTATCATTGATTTACATTTTATTTCTTTCTCATCTTATTGTGTTAATGTGTTTTATTATAATATGTTCACAAAAAGAGAAAGATTGAAATAAACAACAAATAAAATTCATTTTGTAACGAAATATTACTACACATATTCGATATAATTGCAATTCTGATGAATAATTTTTTTTGTTGATCATATGTTTGTGCTAAATGAAAAGGAATTTGATTTTCTCATGTTTAGTTATATTATGTCTATAATTTATTTATGATATTATGAAATTTATCACTAAACTTGTAATGAATTACACATTAAATTAAGGTTCAGATAACAATATCGATTTTTATTATATGCCATTCTATGCTATTCATAATTATCAATAGTCAGGAGGGTGTGGGTTAGGTTGACTTCTTCAAACACACATATGCATTCAGATCTACACCCTTTTGTGAATCGTACACTACTATTCTGATCTCGTGCGAGCCACTGGATGATAGATTGGTGTACTGCTACGGTAACGATTGGCATGAAAACTACGTACAACATGTGTATGAATGCGTAGATTTTCAAACGCTTTGTCTTTTAACCACTGCTCGGATTTCCGCTCTGATAAGAAAACTTTTTCTCCCATATCGACTCCGCCGACACCCGATTCATCGGAAATTTGTTGGTACGAATAACCAATTTCAGTCCGATTTGAGAGTGTTCGTACACAAATCAGCATATAATATGTTTCACCACTTTCACTCGTAAATGAATGATCACAGGTAAATTCTAGTAGCTGATCATGAATTGATTTGATTAGGCAGTTAATAAACTCACGACCTTTAGAACTATCCCATATATTGTATAAACCAGCCAAGCTGATGATATAACGTTCCGTATCAGTACGATTATACATTGCTTTTACGGCATTGATATTGGTATAACGATATTTGACTGATTTACTCATTTCGTATGAGGAATGTATAGGAACTATTCCGTTACGCCGAGTCATAGTGAAAAATTGACGTTGTTTGTGTTCTGAAGTGTGTACTTGTACTGTTCGCATGGCCCTTACGTCAATGTATTGTGTACACCGTGGACATATAGCTTCGTCTGGGTATGCGTTAGATTTTCGTTGAAAGAGATCCATCTCGTCGCATACATTACCACATTTATAACATTCAACGGTATGTTCATCCGATTTAAATGAAAATCTTCGATGACGTTTTGATGTACCATCATTTTTCGAACTTTTCATCTTGTGTATACTCTATGAACAAACTACCAATAACGTTTACCATTACACATAACTTTGGAAAACTTGATTAGTAACTTGAAAATTTTTGGTGAATACAATGTATTTTCAGTCCATATTTATATAAACTAATATAAACTATGACGTGACTCACTTCTTTTTTTCTTTTCATCGTAGGTATGAGGGCATATGTGCGCATCTTCTCTAAATCAACACTCACCATTCGTTGAAAGAGGAAGTCATTTGTCTGTCATTTGTAGATGCGTACATGATATTTATTCAGTGATTTATCTACAAACGTTATTAGTTATGCGGTTGGTTTTTTCCAATTTTGCGAAAGAAAAAGAAAACATGTAAATCAAATTATACCGTACATGAATGAGTCATTCAAATGATTGATGAAGTGATACACTAAAACATCAACATCGCAATTGTCTACGTATGCAAACTATTAGACAGAATACTTAATTTCGTATATAATTCTATCTCAAATCATCAAAGGATTTGCGAGACAGTTTTCTATTTACATGAATACTTTCTATATTAAACTTTCATTTGAAATTATTTTCTTCTTGCAATGAAAACGAAAAACTTAAATTAACTATACGATAAAACTGAATTGTTTACAAATGATTTATTTTCAAGGAAAAAAAAGAGGAATTTTTATTTATTAGTTTGAACATGCATTGAATAATAATTATAAAAAAGAACAAAATGTTTATATTCTTTTTTTCTTGTAATGTTTGAAATAAATTTTCTTGATTTTATAACTTATAATATTCTCGATATTTTAATAATTCACCTTTAACTTGTCCAATATCACCTACAAAAACTGGTTTATCATTTGTTGTAAATGGATTTTCTCCATTCTTAAAAACAGCAAATTTAACTTGACCAGTCAACTTTTTACCATCATTATGAAAACGAAAACTATAATCATGAATAACAACAGCACCATTTTCCTTTAAAAATTCGACATCTTCAGTTTTATAAAGATATCCAAGACCAGTTAAATGCATTTTATTTCCTGCTAAACATTTATAGTAACCAACACGATTACTTAATGCAAAACTTGAACCAAGTTCAGCTGCATTATTTCCACCTGCTATACTAAATAATTCATCAAACATTCCATGTGTCTGAAGTCTTAATGCACAATAAAGTGGTTCTTTATCAGGAAATGTAACTGTTAATTGGTAAACTCTATTTTCATATTGATGACAATTATAATTATATCGACTACCATTAACAATAGAAATTAATATTAAAATAACAATAATAATCATTTGTTTTGATTTCATAATCATATCTTGAATTGAATATGTACTTGTGTTCTCTTTTAAAACCGATTCGGTATGAGTATAAATAGTAGAACAAAAGAGAGAGAGAGAAATTATAAACAAATAAGAAAGCTACTCTGTAACACTGACCTACATCTGCATTTCATAACGTCCTTTGTACGTGAGAAAATTATTTATAAAATAAAAAATCAAAGGAAAATGATCATTAGAGAATGTATATGAGAAATATTTTGTTAGTTTATTCTAAAATTCTTTTAATTATTAAATATTCGAAGAGGCCATATGAAAATTCCGTTATACTTCCATACAGTAAGTTCAGGATATGCATATGAATACTTTATTTTCGTAGATTGTGATTATTCACATGATAATAATACTAGAGCATTAAATTAATTTTTTTAGTTCTAACATAAAAGTATTATAGCATTTGCTTAACAACAATACAAATTCCTCATTCATAAATCTAAAATAAAAAAGCCTAATATTGCAAAAATTATCCATATATTATATCATCAATATCAAAAGAATATTTCTATTATATCGCTTATGTAGAACTATATTTTCGAAGTTTTATGATCCAATAATGATGTTTGATTGATCTAGTTTTCACAACCATAAATAATACTAGTTGTAGAGAATATGTCAGATTAAGTTACAACATAGATAAGAGACGAAATAACTTCACAAAAAATATTTATGTAGATATAATATAAATCTTATATATGATCAATACTCTATCTAAATTTTTATTGTCTCTTTTTCATTTTCTATATAACATATAATGAAGAAAAAACTGCTCCGTGTTATAATAACCGACAATTTCTTGAAGCAATTTCTAATTACTCTAATTTATTTATAGTTATAAGAATGTCTAAGTTAAAATAGTGCATTTTCTATGATAACAAAAGGTGTCGGTGTGAGTAAAATCCTTTTAACCTTCACACCCACCCTATTTAAAATTAAACGAAAATAACAATGACATTTATTTTATTCGAAATAAAACATATATTAAGGTAAACAACAATTAAATCTGTTTGTAAAATTATTATGAATAGCATAGTAAATTAAAGATTGCTACGTAACATAGACATATTATGTGTTTCAGCTTGAGTAACGGGCATAAGATTTTGATTTGGATGGCAACATCGTTTCATAATCTTGATCAATTCTTTACGAAAAATAGTTCCAGTTAATGTATACATATAGAAGCTACTTATGTGTGCAAAATAGGGTATTGTACCTGTAACTCGATATATTAAATTTTCAACAGCAAGTCGAAGTCCATCTTTGACTAAACTTGCAGTATACCATCCGTAAATTTGAACAATACAGAATGGTAAAGTAAAAATGATAATAACAAATACTTGAGTAATTAACATACGTAATAGTTGAGTATCTGTACGTCGGACAACTGAATTATTTCCAGAACCTGCGGGGACAATTTGACGATGTCGACGAAGATTTATAATTGTAAGAAAACCAAAGAGAAGCATTAATAACGATGGAAAAAGAGAATATAAAATCAAATACCAGAATACATCGAATGAACGATCAATACCTTTTCTGCTATTACATGTTGATACAATATTACCAGATCCATTAGTCGAATAAGTTAAATCATAATAAATAATCATAGGTGAATATAAAATAATGATGAGAATACTGATAAATGCTGTTGCTATTCGTGCTATTTTAAGTGAACTCATTCGACGAATTTGAACTTTTGCTGAACTATTGAAATATCTATCGATAGACGCTAATACAATTAACCAACAGGATATTGTACGTATGACATGAAAAATATAAACTTCTGTTTTACAAATTACAATATTATATGTAGAAATATCTATATTGTATCCATCTGAAAGAATACGTATAGGCATAATTACAAATACAACCAATAAACTATAACATGTTGACCAGAAAAAATATACTGCACATGGTTCACGACGTAAAAATGGGCGCATAAAAACAAGAATGTTTAAAGTAAGACCAATTGCACCAAAACCAAAACTAAAAAATGATAAAACCATAACACTTATTGTTGTTGCTGTATTTATTTGATTAATCGTAACGTTAACAGATGACATCTTATTTAACTAATTATTTATTGATGAATACAATCTGAATATGATAAAAATCTTTATACTTATTTACATAGAAGACAAACGCTAGTTTTTATTACTTTTCAACCGTCTTTTTTTTCTAATAACGCTGCGGGTAAGTAATAATCTTTCATAGCAAGAAACTTGCCTTTCTCTCTTTGAACCAGCTAAAGGTTAATTTAACTTTAATGAAATTCATTTTTTTCATAGTATTCTTGAAAATTATTTTATACATCAAAATCTCTTCATGTAAAAATAGATCTATGTTCTAGAATAGTATATTAAATATGAAAACTGACCTCGTTTTAATTAAAGAACATCAATTATTCAGTTTGAAATTAACTGTTAATGAGAATATGAATGAATATAAGATTAGTATTTTATTATAAGGATAACATAGATTTATGATATACGCAAAATATTCAAATTACGACAATCCTTCCAGGAAGAGCTATATGAAATAATATGTCGACCTAAGGAAAGTTTGATAAAACAGAACAGAAGATAATTGTTTTTATTAATATTCAGTAACAAATGCGTAAAACCAAGTAAAAAACTATATGTAAGATGCAATCATTAAGGCTTAATTTTACTTTGTATACAATCTACAAAGTAATCCGAAAATAAAAAAAAAATCGATAAGAATCAATCTATCTGTTTTAATAATGACAACAAAATCT